AAATCTTGACCAACCGAAAGATGATTCCTTGTAAAGACAGCATCGCTCCTGCCCCAGTACATCTGTGTTGTGCCTGCCTCCCCAAACATCAGCTCCGATGCCACCTGGGAAATGCCTGTTGGGGTGACTTGGCCTGGTTCCCCACACAGCTGATGCGACCGGAGCCAACGAGCCCTCCCAGCACAGCACCACATACACTGGGACGTGCTGTCCCTCTCGCTGTGTTTGTTTTAGGGGATTAAGAACATGCCTAAACTCAAGCGCATGTTGGAAATGATGTTTCACACGCAAAGCAGTCTGGTTTGGAGGGAAATAGCAATGTTTCTGTGATTAAATGAAAATAATTGGGGTTAACCGGGGAGGAAAATGACATTTCCTTGCAATTACTTGGATTTATTATAAGAAAGAATGACATACCTTGTCAGTTTTATCTGCTCTCCACAGTTTTCCCTTCATGTTTTTCCTCCTACTTCTAGGAATGAATTTGGGCTCCTTTGCCTCATTAATGAGAGATTATCTAGCTTGGTGAGAAGTTTTGTGTATTCAAAACGGGCTTTACTGATACAGCTCTGTAACACTGACGTGCTCTTCTGTTCCAAAAACCCCTTCTGCTAAAACCCAAACAGAATAACATGGCTATTTCCCTAAATTATTGTTCAAACATATGGAAGTTGTTCTCTTCTCAATGGTTCTGGTGTTATGAAGAAAGGAAAGCTGCTCACATTGTCTGTTCTCCATAACTCCTCCTTTACTATATGGTTCTCACACATAGGGTTGTCAAATCAGGACACTGCTTGGGATTTAAGAGAAAATAATACGCCTTATTTGATGCATTTTGCTCTATAAACATTCACTTTCAAAAAAACCCAACAGCAGAATTCTTCCTATTGTAAAGTCTAAGGGCAGGAGGTACTTTCTGGGTACAAACCAGGGCCCAAAGTATCCACTTCAGCTCTGGTGAGACACACAAACCTTGCAAAAGTTTAACCAGTGACTGAAATGGCACAACTGAGACATATGGTGGTGGTGGTGAAAAGAAGAAAATCCCTAGATTTCCACTCTCCTCTTGCCCTCTGTCCTTCTCCTCTCTCACTTCATCTGTTCTCCAGCCCAAGGTCCTGGAAAATATAATTGCTTGTCATATGCAGCTATTCTAGATTTTGGATTTTGCTTGTGGCTTCTCACCATACATTTCCTATTAGATGCTTTTTTTGTGACGGGGAATAAGTGCACACTGCATCCCAGAAGCAGGCATACCTCGTACTCAGCAATGTAATCATGGTCTCTAGCCCTTTCCTAACCATTTCTACCACTTCACCTACTTTTTTTTGATTGCAGCTAAGTGTTGAGCCAATGTTTTCATAGAATGATAAGGTGTAACCTCTCTATCTTCATGATACTAGATTGATTAAATTGATTGACTAATTGACTACTGACCGTATATAATAATATTAGTTGGCTGATGCCAGCTTAGAGCATCTTATTTCATTTCATATGACTGTTTTTCTTTCTCCCCATGAACATCTATTTACATTACCTACATTGCATTGCATTTATTTTTGCTGCCAGTCAGCCACTCAGCATCACTCAGCCAATTCTGCTCTCTGTTACTGTTCACACCCATTTGCTCTCTGTCCTTGCAATTTGTTACTATTCATTTTGCTCTTTCACTTCTTCTTGCCAGCCTCTGATTCCATCAGGAAAAACTGATTCAGCCATAAGAGCATCCCTAAATTCCTCCACGGTGAACACAGATGCCGAAAAGCCCCTCCTTGCCTCTAGTTCTGGCTTCATCTGCTCTGGGAACCTCTAGCACTGGCCCCACAGATGTTCTGGCAGCCTTAAACATGAGTTCGTGTTTGCAAAAGCAAATGTTCTTAATTTGTAAAGCATCTCCAAACTTCCCAAGGGGGGCTGCTGCATTTGGTGTTGTTTCTAACCAATTGCTTTCATCGTTTGAACATTTCAGCTTTCTTTTCTTTCTTTTTTTTTTCTCCCCCTCCCCCCCCCTGCCCCGGATGTTTTGGGGGATTCTATACCATCTCTTGCCAACCCATGTAGCTATGCCAACCTCCTCTGCACTTCTGCACCCCAGTATCTCCCGCATAGCACTGCAAGAGGAACATATGCAATCATGCCTTTCACATTAATTGGAAAATGGCATGAAATTTTGCCCTTTTTGTGGGTTTCCAGGTTAGTTGGTCCCTGGGTCTAAAAAACAATGTCTGTGTCAGGCCCTGTGTGATGCATACCAACCAGAATGGATGTAACCCATTTCACACTCATATTTCCTGCCCATACAGCGTCCCTGGTCGCTCTCTGGACACTGTCACCAGCAGGGACAGGCAAGCAATGCTGACATGTTAATAGCACTTTCATTTGGGCTTGGCATCCCCTGTTACTTGTTGGGAGGGTTAACTTGTGATCTGATCTGACTGCTAGTCCTTATCTCTGGAAACGATGCAAAACCAAACAGGAATGAAAGGAAAAAAAACCCACAAGAAAACAACCTTTTTTGGTTTTGTACGCAGAGAGGGCATTTGGGGTTGCATTTGGATATTGCATTTGGGGGGAAGTTGTTTTTGTTTCTTTGCAAAGTAACAAAATTCTCACAAAACTGACAAGGAGAACAAAATGGTTTACTTTTTTTTTAAGCTAGAGAAAGGGGGAAATAGGAAGAAAATTCCAATCTTTTCATCAAAAGACAAAAATTTCAGCCAAAAGAAAAAGATTTTCAACACTGTGTTTGGAAAATTTGTAATAGCAAAGGTGTAGCTATATTAACTATACTTTCTCAGCTTTATACAAATATTTATAAAACATATAAAACATGAATTAATAACAGAGGGAATATTTTTATTAACAAAAAATTAGAACACAAGCTTTTAATACCTATAGCAGGAAAAAGAGTTCATTTATTTAAACAGCAGTTTAGAAACCAGAAACAAATAAACAAAAAAATAGTTACTTTCCTATGGATTTAAATTTTGGAGTTAAAATCTCTTGATGGCTTCTAGGGAAGCCTTAGGTCTGTAGTAATTCTCAGGAAACAGCATTGCTGACTACAGCACAAAACAACTCAAATTGTGCTGATTCGGTAGGCAAAGTCTTTGAAACGAGTGGAGCTTGTGGAGGAGTCAGAATCTTAAGAAATGCCAATATTAT